CATATGTGATAATGTCAAGGTAATGAACTATTCTATGGGAATGTAGGCTAAGCACCGAGTGGATTTGGTTAGATGGAAACTCCCCAAAGTTAGGCATGAGTTTCAATGATCGTCTACCTTATCCCATAAACTATGTGCCTGCGAAGGTCTAGATAGTGGATCCACCTAAGCTATATGAACCGGTCTCCTTAGGCAAGTAGTCCACCTTTTTACGGTGTGGGGACTTATAACATCGGATTCCATGAAAAGCTCTCATGGTCTATGTCGGTTAATACTTACTTCCCATCATGTGAGATTTCATTGTGGGTCTTGATAGGTTCTACGAAGTGTAGGTAGTAGTATGGGATGCTACCTATGCATTGCAGGAGTAGGCTTTGAGAGGGTCATAGTGAGTTTCTCTAAATCTTAATGGCTATGATATGAAAGTGTCTTAAATGGAGCAATTGAAGAATGTTAGCTCTTAAATGCTTAATATGATATGTATTCTATACTTGGGTTATATTATGAGTTACTTTCCCTTGTCATGCCTTATGAAATGATATGTCTTTTATGTATGAATATGGCTTAGAGATGAAAGAAAATGAATGGTAGGTTTACTTTAGGTGTGACCTAAATGTGATGCCCTAGTGTGGATGGTGGTATGGGACGATATCGATACATTGCACAAGGTATAGCATAAGGGTTGCTTAAGGTGAAGGTCCAAGGTAAATGTAATGGTTTCCATGCGATATTGTTTAAGTGTGAAGTTATGACTTATATGATGTTAATGCTTGTATATGATGTCTTTTATGTTACTGTACATGATGTTTCTAAAAAGTGGCATAATACTTGGTTTCCAACCAAAATGACCCCTTTTAAAGCATGTTTTGCATGGTCATCATACTTAGTACATTTCTGTGTACTAACCCATATTCTTCATGTTTTTACTATAAGTGTAGGTTCCGGCAAGTGATTCCTCCTAGCTAGTTTGAAGTGTTGGATTGCTTTCCTCCAAAACTTGGTATGTCCTTATGGTTCGAGGAGAAGACTTATGTTTCCTTATTTCATGTAATAGACATTTTTAGTAGTTGTTTTCGATTGGAAAGGATTGTGTCCCTATTATGTTTAAAGCTTGGGTCTAAGATGGACATGTGAGACTTAGACTTCCGCTGTACAACAAGATTTCCTTTAAATAAAGTTTTGATAATTTGGATTCAAATGAGTTTTAATTCTGCACTATTTCTATTTCGAATGCAATGACTACTAGCCGGAGCCGGTAGAAATGACTGACTGAAGATAGAGAGAGATCACCTCCATTCTCCGAATAGTAACACGGTAAAGCCAAAGATCTGATTCACTAGCATAGGAAACCTACTGAAGCCCAAGGTAAGGGAGGAGCGTCATGGCTAGAGGTCGAAGAAGCTCCAACCCCGGCGATCTAAGTGAGGCGATGCCTTTGAAGTAGCGGACCTATAGGTGTGACTGAACTCGCCGATCAGGCGTATACTGATTAAAATAAGATTCTTATGAGAGAAAGCCTACAATACGTTCGTGCATTTGCTTGCCTTGCCGTTTTCAAACGTTTTTCGGTGGGAGCCTGAAGCTGAGACCTGGGAGAGGAGACCAGACTGAAGTAAGGCCTAACTTGAAACTATGTACCGTAGTTTGAGCAATCATAACTGATCACTATATATTGATCTTGCCAAAAATCAGTAGTGGAATAACAAGTACAAGTAATGGTACACGTGCCTTCGAAAGCTTCTTCTCGAGTTTAGAGCATGAAGCGGTCTTGTGGATAGTTCTCCGGTTCGGGTACCAAGGAAACGGAGCAAGAAAACGTATGCGCATCCGAACTATTAGCTTCACTAACGCACACCGCCAAGAAGCCGGCCGGTGTTTGTTCACACCGTTAGAGTAGATCCAGCCTCCCTCCGGGTCTCAATTAGGGTATGTGGTCCTATCCTAAAAGAAAGATCCTATCTTGCCTCCCTGAAATAAAAGGGTTTTAACTACCTCTAAAGAGGCCTCCCCTTTCGTACCTACTCCGCAAGGTCTCGCTCCTTTCACTTCCTCTTCAACAAGATATGACCCTTTTAGTGGCTATAGTGGCGTACTTAGGTAATGAAATTCTCGACCAAACCTATCCCCTAACCCTCGGAGTCTCCGTCCGCTTCTTCTCCTTCTGGAGCCTCCCTCATCGGCCATGCATCGGACGAGACCAATTCCGATAAGGAGGTTTTTTATTCTCCCCAGTCCCCATCTACTTCCACCTCGACTCCCGGAAACCAATCCATTGAGAGTTCTCCCAACGAGCAGAAAGATAAATTGGAGTTTCTATCTGAAAACCAGCGGAAGCTCCGGGTAGATTTATTCCACCAGCTGCAGCAGCTGTCGATTGATAGGCGACCCTATCTCTATGCAGAAGGAGGAGTGGTCATCGAATAAGGTTTCCTTTCCTGTACTTTTTTGTTTGAATTTCCCTATTTGATCTAGTAAGGGGAAAGGCAGACCGCTTACCATAAACAGAAGATCGATATCGCACAGAAGGCCTGATATCGCCCTATTAGAGATACTGATTCAAGTTATAGTACTTCCTCAGAGCGATTGAACTAGCCTTTTGACTAAATAGATATGGGCATAGAGAGGGAATCCTGAACTACAGGAAAAAAGGAGAGCTACTTGCCAGCAGAAGGAAAGGAAGAAGCAAAAGCTTTCGCATGTAGTCACTCACATTATCTGTACTTTACCTAAGCCTGTTAGTGCAGCTCAGCTGGAAGAGATTCTAAGCGAGAAGCAGTATTGAACCGGAGCCACATAGAGTTAGTTCCCCTCAAAGCCTTCTTCTGAACTTGCCAACAAGTGCTTATGAAAGCAGGTTGGTGTGAATGATAAAGTCTTAAGTCAGTCTTTCTACTTAATGTCCGCCTCGCCACTGCTTTCGGGTGATTGGAGA